ACACACATACAAACACACATACACACAACACCACATATAAAATATAGGTATATTCCAATACCTATACATGTCTATAAAAAATCAAATCAATATTATATAATGTGTATCTATTTATCAAGGTTATAATCTGTGTATTAGGCCAATAACACACATGCAGACAGACAAACATAAACACAGACACATAGGCAATAAGCTGCAGTATACACAAAAAAGGAAGCAAAAAGCATCGGTTGTCTACACACTCCTTATAAAAACCTTCACAGAGACAACTTACGATATTCTTTGTTCCACGTGCCCGTTAACTACCGTGCTGTGACCTTCGTCCTGTGATAACACAGATAAATACAATGAGCCCAGTCGTCAGCTAAAGTGGGCTTTTAATTATCCCACGTCCTTGACCACAACGCTCCTGATAACCGTGAAAAGTGCAATAAAATCCCTCAGCTCAGGTTTCTAGACAAAACACTGCACCTGGAAAGCCGTGTCTTATCGTCTTGAGAAGGAAAATACGTGATGTGAAAGCTTCACAGATATTGGCTAACATTTCTGGACAAGGGTCGCGATGGTGATCTAATTTTTAATTACCTTAATAATAGCAGACAAAGGCTATTGTTAGTCCATGTTGAAAAAGGGCTCACGTCACAGACCTCTATTAAAAGGCCATGGCGCGTCACTGACTTCCTAAGTGTGTGAAAGTTGAAGAACGTGGAGTCGATATTTACCACGCATTGCCCCACATAGAGGTTGATAAAATGGGAAACGAAAAAATTGTGATGTCGATATTTAAAAACTTTAAAAGCGAACGAAATACCAGGCCCCATCTATGAATTTCAAGAATATCATGTGAATAATAGATTGCTAATTCCACAATCAGTTCATTTTGTATAGCCGGTTTCCCATTGACATCCTGAGAATACGGTCAGTTTCTCTTGGTTAAACATTAATAAGTCTTCTTCTTCGCTTTTCCGATAGTTAGACGTCGATTCTTTGACCTTTTAGCAAGAAATCACTCATCGCTTCCCTTTCTTTCTACCTGCTGCCTGTGTTGCTTTAGTTCCAAACCAGGTTTCTGTGCCTTGTTCCCATATTATTTTGTTGCTCTTCATAAACAAAAAGATGAATTTTGTCAGTGTGTCAAACGTTTACTATTAATTTGTTTCTACTGTTTAGAAAGTGTGTTCTTGCGCTTGAGATTCTCCCCTTAAGTATGCCGCACATTACGTTCGAAAGTCGATCAAGGTTTTTCTGCCTGTGGAAACCGTTAGATATTGATTTTGTGTGCATAAGTCGTTGTGTCTAGTCGTCCCACATTGTCCTGTCCCCGCAGAAGTATAAGCTTGTTATGCAAATTTGCGAGACCAATGCACAATAATGCTCAAATTAGGCAAGTTGCCGTAACGCCATTTACGACAGGTTTTGCACTTTTTCAACAAGGGTTGCCATGTCTTATGTACAGAAAATTTGAAAACAGAAAATTTATTAGATCTAGCATACATCAGTATCATTTGTTTTCTGGGGGGGGGAGTAACGCTAGCACTAAGCTAGTATAGCCATATTTTTTCTAATAACCTACTTTTCATCGCCTTACTGCCTGAGTTTTGGAAGCTTTCTCAGTTTCTGGTATAAACCTCCTAGGATTTGACTCCATTTTTATGACGTTGTCTTATTCCAAACAATATTGCGTAGATCTAGATCTGACAGTTGTTTCTGACATCGTTTGCACAAAAGTAGCCTAGTTCATCTCTCATAATCATTATATTATTATAATCTGAGTTTGAGCTAGTAAGTCCAAAGACGCTTGGATAGCAATAACAAGACGGTGCAACTCATAGCCCCTATTTTCTGTCCGAACTGTCGCCATAGCACAGATTCTTTACCAAGATATTTCTCTCTCTCTCTCTCTCTCTCTCTCTCTCT